CGGGGTGCTGCTCGGGGGCGCTGGAGGGAGCCGGCCCCAGGGGCTGGGCGTCGGGGCTGATGTAATAGCTGTAGTGCCGGCCAGGCAGGAAGATGTGAGTAGCTGCTTTTGAATCGATGGTCGAAGGGCTGCTGACCCAGCAGAGGGAGAAACCCCCGTGATCGGGGTGGGCAGTGAGGGGTTCAGCCGGCCGGGCGGAAAAAGAGAAGGATCTGGATGAATGTAGTGAGCGCCCATAACCTTAAAGATGCTGTTTTAAATAATAGATCTTAATGGTGGGCATTTAAATCTAATTTGCTTTTATTGTTCATTGTTTATTTATGTTGTTTATTCACTTTGCTGCTCCAGCAGTAAGAAGCATTAGGCGATTTCACTTTTGTTTCCAATCACTTTCACTCTTTGGCTGTCAGGTACTTCCATGATGTCATGATGTTTGGGTTGCAAACGCTGCAGGGAAGTGTTTAACTCCAAACAAACTGTATTAACCGGCTTCTTCAAATGTCATGGAAACACGTCTCATACCAACAGGCTCTGAAGCATTTTTCTGGCTTTTTTTTTTTTTTTTTTCTGAATTCTATGAATACTTTTGGAAACCCCTCAAGGGTTTCAGCTGTAATACTTTTTTATTTTATATTTTTGAAGGAAATGGCCTTTTTGAACAAGGCTTCATTTCTTCAAGCTTAATAGATCGGTTACTAGAATGCTAGTTGTCATTAAGAGTGTTAGTAATGATTGTGAAACAAAACATGAGAAGGAAATGAGTTTATGAAGGAAACATTATCAGATGATTTTACTGAGGGGGCTTTCCTGGGATTGGAGTTCATGGGAACTTTTTTCCAACTGCAAACAGAACTCAACAGCTCAATTATTCTACCTGAGATTTTTAATTGCAATGGAACAACCAGCAGGTTTTTTTGATACTAAATTATTGATTGAAATTTCAGAAGTCTGTTTGAATTATCAGTATTAATAACTTGCTTGCTTGCTGCTGCTTAATATCCTGTGAAACAAAAGCAAGATACATGAATTAAAATTACTCTTGGCCACTGAATATTATTTTAAAAGAGTCAGGCTTAGAAGATGTTGTTTACTTTCTTGTATGCTTGGTTGCATGTGTGGTATGTCTGTGTAATCAGAAGCAGAACGTTCATGTCTTTTGTCATGTGGTCTGACAGCTCAAGTCAAATTGTTCACAGTCATGTCACTATAGGTAGAATAAGAAGATCTTTTGAAGTTTAGCTACCTTCACACTGAGAAGGTTTATTGAGCAACCATGCAGAATATAGTTAAACTGTTACTAGAATTTATGAGGTGATCTTCCTCAAGTGCCATTTTAATTGAATTTCTCCAATGATCTCTTTTTCAGGAGACCTCATGGAAGGAGAGCTTTACTCTGCTCTCAAGGAGGAAGAGGCCTCTGAATCAGTTTCCAGTACAAACTTCAGTGGTGAAATGCACTTCTACGAGCTTGTAGAAGACACAAAAGATGGGATCTGGCTGGTACAGGTATAGAAATTGGATCCTTTTTAAAATGCATTTATCACATCCAAAATGTGTGTCAAAGGTGGAGGTCATGAGGGTAGTTAAACAGTAGTAAAAGTGTATAGCAGAGAGATTGTGATAAAGAAACTATATCAGGGAGGCAGTGAGGAATAAATCTGTTAAAACCAGAAAGGCTGGAAGTGGCAGAGTACCTATACAGACAGGAATTTTTTAAAAAAAGTTATTCTGTGGATTTATTTTTTTTTAAAATCAGGTACACAAGAAGCAGAAAACACGGGAAGCAGCACACACTTAAGTACACAGGCTATGCAAGTACTTGGCCCTGGTATTGTAGGAGCTTGTTTACTGTGTGAAGTAGGTGCTGTCTGCTCCCAGCTGGCAGAGGAGAGGTGCTTCTGGTCTTGCTTTTCCTTTTGGTTGCATGAAAAGCAGGCCCAAGCAATCTGAGTTTCTGGTTATCTAAAGGGCTTAGAGCACTTTGAAAATCTCTGTTGTCTCTTCCCAAAGGCAAGATCTCAGTGTGCTGCTGCTTCCCAGGCTAGTTGGCTGCTTCTACAGTATACTCCAGTAGGGCTGCTTCTACAGTATACTCCAGTAGCTTAAAGTTAACCTTCCCCCAGAACTTGTGGGCCCACTGATTTTAGAGCGTGCTGCCCCAAGTCTGCATGAGAATAGAAGAATGTTTAGGGGAAAAAAAATAAATTCACAAATAGGATTCTGAAACAATTAGAACATAAGTAATCTAGACCAAAAAGTAAAAATGCTTTTCTGCATCAGCTTTCCTATTGATAAGAGGGGTTTTTAAGGCATGAGTTCCTTGCCAACAGCCACATCAGGCAATCAGAATTCTCTGCCAGACAATTAATTGTTCGGTTGGCAGCACTCCTGCCTGGTTTGTCTGGTCTCCTCACTTCATATTTTCTATTTAAATAGATTATCAAGATTTAATGACTTCCTGTTACTAGACCTGCACTGTCACTGCATGAGATCTCACTCTAAAATAGTCAATGAGAGGACAGATTACCTTCAGAGTCAAAATGGCATTTGTGTGTGGGAGGGATGCATTTGGAGTTTATTGAATCTAACTTTTGGGTTTAAATGATACAGAAGGGCATTCGTCAAGCAGAGAGAGGGTGTTCAAAGGAAGATAACATGACTCTGAGCTAGCTGAGAATTACAGACGTGAATATGCTGTGAAAAATCTTCCCTCCTCCCTGTGAAGCTGAAAATAATAGAATATGGTAGTTCTCTGTTGTCGGTTGCTTGCAGAATTTTAATTGTAATAGATTTTCAGCTAGCTTCCTAATAGCAGATCAGATAGGCTGTGGTTTAGTATCTCCAGCATGATATGCTGTCATCATTCTGGGAATGTTTGCACAGCTATTTAGTTGGTCACAATAGCTGTGGAAAAAAAAAATTAGTGGAATTTACTGAATAATTCACTTGCTGAATGCTGTTTGTCTGTTCCTCCACAATAAAAACCACTAGATGTCAAATTTCTTTTTTTTTCAGTCTTGCCTTTTGAGTTTTCATCACTTTGAGTTTGGATTTGCTGCTTCCCCACTGTAAATCCTGTCTGGCTAACTCCTGTGCTGGATTCTTTGTGTCCTTTCACAGGTTTTCCCATTCTCTTAGGCCTCATCCCTCCAGAGCTGTTCTTTAGCATAATTTTTGTGTTCTAATTCTTGTTTGCCATCCCTTCCCCATTGTCCTTTACTGTTAGGCATCCTGTGGAAACTTCACAGCTAATTAATCAACTTGATGCTTAGGCAGGGGACAGTACTAGAGTGAGGATGTGTCATGGATGGGTTTGATGACTGTAGAAAAGGTCGGAGCATTCCCCTGCTCTGTTGTTGCTGCTGGCTGGGAAGCAGAAAGGATCTCCAGATAATTTTTGGGATCCTGACCCTGAATCTCTGTTCTGTGGAGGCTGCTGGAGAGCAGGAGAGGGAGAGGAACAGTTCTGGCTCGGCCAGTACAGTGGCTGCTGGTTGGGTTGGTTTTGAACACTTCATGCTGAAGCTTGGGAGGACAGGGACTCTGAAGATGATTTCTGTTTTCCAATGCATGTAAATGGAATTTCTGGGGTGGCACAGGCTGGTAATGTGATAGCCATCCCTGTCTGCAGAGAATTAAAGGAAAAAGAGAAAACTGTATAAATTTAGATGTGCATTTATCATTTAGAGCCAGCAAGGTGAATTCCTTGAAGAAAGCCAAAGTCCATACACAAGGAAATGGTATTTTGTGGCTTTGCTTCTTTATTTTCTGGAAATCTACGAGTAAGGCTTCCAGATTCAGTGGGAATTTGTTTACCCCTGTAGCTGTTCACAGGTGCCCTCTGCTCCTACATGGAGCTTCCATAGAGCCACAGGCAGCAGCACGTTCTTTCTCCTATTAGCTCATGATCTCATCACCTTTCCTTTTATGCCTTTCTTCTTGCTTGCCAGCTGCTGCTGTGCACTTCTTTGGCTGGCAAGGAGGATGCGTGGTAGTTTCTAGAGCTGCTTCTCTTGTTGGTAGAGGAGTAGCACGTAACATTCTTGCTTTTCCAGACTCTGCTGTGGCTCGTGCTCTCTGGTTAGTCTCCAGAAGCCTGTCACATCCAAAAATAATAGTAGTCATTATGGCTTCTTAAAAACTTACAGTAAATTATCTGCAGATAAAAATTTTCTTTGAATGAAGTTAAAAATCTGAATCAATGTATATTTTTATTTTAAGAGTCTCTACTGTAACAGAGTGATAGAGAAGTAAAGGGAACTTTCTTCCTGGCATTGAAGCAGGAGGGCAAACAGTTGGATTATATCTGGGAGAGGTGCAAAGGACATCATTATGGATATAAAATGTTTCAGTCCATTCTGCAGCTCAGCTTCTTGTTCAAGTGGTGTAGTCACAGAGCAAGGGATGTGCCTACAAGATTTTGGTAGTGCTTCATTTGTTCATTCTTTCTTGTGCTTGCATGTAAGATGAGGAATTTTCAAATTTGCCTTTTTAATTTTGCCAGGTGAGCAGTTGTTCTCGTGGTAAGGAAATGAAGTAGAAACAATTCTTTTAAAATACAGTGTTCTGTATTTGTGTCTTTTCTAGTGCTTCTTCAGAGTCATTTACTGTAGGTTACTAAATTTGAACTTTCAGTGTTCTTCTTGAGGGTCTTCATATCCAGTCAAGGGTGCAGAATACCATCAGCTGGAATGTAACAGTTCTCATACTGCCTGCACATCTGTGTTAATTCATTGCAGAAGCTCATTTATTCTCAACCTCTGACTTAACTGACAGCTTAACTGAGCTGTTCAGATTGGTGCATAGATCAACCCACCTCCCTTGAGGACCTACACATAATTTTTAGGTAGTTAATTTTTGCATGCTGTGATGGATGCAGTCTTCTGTCTTTGACTAGTTTGATGTCATTTCTCATGGTTTCAGAAAATAAAATAAAAAAAAAAAAAACTCCAGATATCTGTAATCCATGTGGATGGATTCTGAACTAGTTGTGAATTCTTAGCAAAGACCAACTATGTGGAAATTCAGTTTTATCAGCACAGTTCCAAATAATGAACAGAGTGTGAGGTCTCACAATTAATAGAAGTACAGATGCTCACGTAGAAACTTACTGACAACATCTGGAATAAGTGTGGGTTTTTTTTTTCCCCATGCTTCTAATAAATAACTCACCAGTGCATTTATAACTAATTGTATTTCTGAATGAAAATGGTCCAAATATTTTTACCTCTGTTTTATCTATGGGAAGATAGTTTGCACCACAGCTGGTGATTATAAAGGGTTCTATGAAAAGCACCTGAGAAACTTAATAGACCAGGGTACTTGAACCTCTGTGTCTTTGGGGATCCCTGAAAGTCTTCCAGGAAGTGCATGGAGTCTTTACAGGAATACCATCCTCCTTCACTAATTTACCTGAGGCACTCTGGAGGAGTTCCTGGACCTCCAGGGGTCTGGCTATCTCCAACTGGAAACTGCCAAACCAGACTGACAGTTCTTGCATACATACAACATTACTAGTTCATGGAGTAAGTTAGAAATCAGTTTTGCCTTTGGCAAAATCACAGTTTTTCCCCATTCATAAGTCTCTACTCCTTGAAGAGAGTGACTTTGTGAGGCTGGGTGGAGATGGACCACTCACAAGAGAGCTGCCTGTACCTCAGTGTGCACAGCAGGAAATGCTGCCTCTTATTTAAGAGGTTTTGTTCTTCCTGATGGTTTAAAGTCTGTGCCCAGAGCTGATGAGCACTTGGAGTTGTTGCCTTTGGCTAAGCTGTAAAACCAAGTTTTGTCTGTTTGTCTGCTTTTGGTATGAGCAGGTGCTCCTGACACCTGGATCCTAGCTAGAATTGGTTAAAATAATGAAAATTGAAATACCGTGAAATGTTTGTTATGCATTTGTCTGTCCCTGACCCATTCTCATGCTTTGTGATATTTGAACATTTTTAGTTGTGAGTGAGCTTCAAAACTTACTGAGACTGAATCTTGTTACTGTGACCTGTTTTGAAATCTCTGCTTACCTGTCTAAAAGAGATTGGACAAGATTTGATTTAAATGCACAGAAAAAAGATGAATGCTCAAGTGAGGCTAATACCACATTGTGTTCAAGCACTGGAGGGGTACCAGGAATCTGTCCTTGCTTATTGCATTGCCTGCAGCAAACTCGTTAACGTCAGCAGCATCCTTGAGCCTCTTCAATTTCTGTCACATCTTGGATTTTAAGAATGTATGTTTCATAAAGTAATTATTTTTAAAAGTGCTCCTTAATGATAACTGGAAATAAAGGAGCTTCTGCATCAATGGCAGTTAGGAAGTAGCTATTGCAATGTCAGTGCATCTGCCTGAGACACTTGTGTTTGGGGTTTAGGCAAAAGAGACCACGTGTCTTGCTGGCATTGTCCTGTTCTTCAAGTATTTTGTATTTGTCTCCAGGGTGTTTGCTCTTGAAGTCTGCTTCTTTAATGTCATAACTATGACTGCTTTTTTAACATACTGGTCAAAATGATTCC